CCAATGTCACGTCCACTAGGCTAGGTCCAACGCGTTTCGTCACTTGACATCTTCAAGGGGCAGAGTCATATTTCAAATATGTTTTTCTTCCATGTGGGCTGCCAGAAGTGATCATTGTATTCTGCCAGCAGGGAAGCACTGCTGGAGGTATTCCCCCATCAATACAGACTGTGTGGGGATTGAGCAATTTTTATTCCTTCTACCCATAGTGGAAGGAAAGAAAAATGCTTAGTCTATGGGCTACTTTACAGGCAATGTAATCAGTGAAAGAACTTTTCTCAATGGAGTTGAGAGCTGGAGACTCGAAGCTCCTAACTTCCATAGCACTGGAAGTTCAGCAGTAGAAAGAGGACAGGACTTTGAGGTGAAGGTTTCGACAGAATCCAGCAGCCTGCACATTGTGGGACATTACAGGTAAGTAGTGTAACTGAAGCTGAAAAAAATGTAATTTAACTTCAGCTTTAAAGTGTATTTCCACTTTTGTAAGGAATAAATATGTGAATGAAGGAGCTTGTCAAGCCCAGACAAACTACAGCGTTCAGGAATGGTTATCTCAGCCGACCGCCTTCAAAATGCGTCCTGTGCCTACAGCGCATGTGTCTACAGTGATGTAGAGGACACCAGTTGCAGTGACAGTAGCTTCCTCCATCTTCAACATGCTTCAGTCCCAGCCGGCATCCCAGACTGGTGGTTCCCTAGCAGCCCCTCAGACATTTTTGGCTCCCTAGTCATCTTTATGCCATGCCCTGCACATGTGTACTTTTGTGAGTGCACTTCCATTTATTAATAAATTTACATTTATTTTCTAATGCTACACTATGGGGTTGCGCTGTTGTTTCTTTTGTTTTGTTTTTTTACTTTTGTAGCCAAATTGAGATTCATAACATACAATATTTAAAAATTGCTGCTTACATTTTTATTTCCTTTAAAGAAAGTATACACTTTCCCTTATTTTGTCCCTTTATTTGTACTTTCAATTTTTCTAGAATAGCTTACCGTCTTATGTATAATCCTGCTCCAACTAGAAAGGTAAGAAAAATATATTTTTTAATTAATTTTAGATATGGAAAATGGGAATCAGTACAAGCTCAAATTTCGGTCCAAACACAAGTTTGGACTGAACTTTGGCTGCTTGGACATTTTTCTGTGCTCCAGATATTTTGCCTGTTCAGCAAGAGCTGAATGTCATATATATTAACTGTGTTATTACCCTTACTATGTATGACAGCTTCCTTCCTGTCAATGGTTGTTAAGGAAGCTGGGTTTTGGCACCCACCATGTCCTTAGATGTCATTCGGCGCAAGTGAGCAACTGGAATGGATTGTGTCCGTGTGTTCGGCTGGTTGGCAGGTGTCATTCATCATGGATATACATTGCTGAACAACCTGATTGATGTACATTGTGGGGCATTTGTCATTTGGCAAAGGACTTGGCAAAAAGTGACATTATTTACATTTTTTTAATAATTATTTTGAATACTATGTACCTCTTACTCATTCACATGGGGAGCTGGTACCCAGGGGCCCCTTTTTTTTTAAAGTGGGTTTCCAGATTCTGATAAGCCCCCTGCCGGCCGACCCCCCCCCAACCCCTGAGCTGTAGGTTTCTCCATTACCATTTATACCATATCCTCATCTAGGCATGTTATTTAAAAGAATTTTGAATGTTCCATCTTAGCTATCATTAAAATTGCATCTCTCTGCAAAAGAGAATTAAAAATTGGCGTGTGTGTGTGTGCCCCATGCCATTGTTTGACAATCCCTTGCCTGTTAGCCTACAGCATGACCAACATTACTTTTTAACATTCAGCTCACATTGACTACATTGTATGTTCAGCTCATCTCCAAAGGTGAAAACATACCAATTATATGTATGTTGGGAGTCTCTCAAATTTGACTGGGAAAGTGAAAATGGAATTTAAGATTGGAAAACAGACAAAATATTTTATGAACAAGAGAAGAATAGCTGAAGCTATTCTATTTTCTGTTAATTGTTTCTGTTGATGGTCATCTAAGAAAGTTCATTCATGTGAAATAAAATAATGCCTTTTTCAATTCACCACACTATTTAATGATTATTAATAGCTTAATTCTATCATGAGAATCAGGTGTTCTCTGCGCAAGAGATTTGATGTCCCTTATGGGAATCATTCTTCCTTAGGGCTCATTGAAATGGGCAGCAGAGGTAGTAAAGATAGGTGGTTGAGCCACAGTTTTACTGCACCTCAACTCCCCCCCCGTCACAAGCCAAACTGGGTTTTACACTGTGACCATGATGTTTTTCTTCACTGCAATAAATGATACCCCATGCCATGTTCAGGTTCCACACACAATAACACGTTTTTTGCACATTCATGTGGGTTGTGTTAAAGGAAAAGTCAATTTTTGGGAACACGTTACATGTTCCACCTGTTTTTAGGGTGGAACATGTTAACATGTTCCCATAGCTGCAGCCGCCGGCTGCCGCCTCCCTCCCTCTGATAGATAGTACAGGGAGCAGTCTCCCTGTACTATCTGTCAGATTTGAAAACAGCATGGCTGTGCTGGGCTTCACCCACACGGTCGCATCATTCATTCACAGTCTTCCATGAATGAATGAACTGCATGTCCCAACAGTCCCAACAGCGGCTGTTGGCTTTTAGTTTTCAATGAACTACACCATGGCAGTTCATTGAAGCTTCCTGCCAGAATATCTGCTTGATCAGACATCCCGTGCGGCAAACAGATATTCTGACAGGTCTGCAGGAGACATCCATGGCATCAGCAATCTACTGATCGTTGGTGCAACACTTTCCAGGCTCATGTAGATAAAAATAATAAATGACGATTTTTTTTTACCAGCAAAAAAATGTGCATTTATTATTTTTTGTCTAAAAGATGAACTTATCCTGTAAGGCAGCACCAAATATGGACATGGCTCATTTTTGGCACCATGCAGGGCACCACAAAAGTTGTAAGAACTGTGTCACCTTAGTAGCAAAAATGAATGGGACCAAAGTGTGCTAATATACAGTATGTAACATGCATTAACATACATCGTGGTAACACGCACATTACTACAACACACTGCACTGGAAGTAATGGACCCCAAGGATTTCACATGTAGTGCCATCTGTTATTGATATCTGGCAATAGCGATCTAGTGATCACTTTAAAACAAGAAGCATAACAAGTCTCCTTTGGGGAGATTTTTGGGGTGGGAGGTTCTTACACTAGTAAACCATTTCTGGTCAAATTATGGGTTTGTACAAGCATTTCACTGGTGATATCTCTTTAATGACAAGTGCCTGGTATATTTTGATGTAAGAGTTATTTAAAGTGTTACTAAAACCCACAACAGTAAAATTAGTCTGTATATGCAGTAAAGTATGCTTGTTATACTCACTATGGAACTTAAAGGGTTACTCCTCTGCATTGTGTAAAAACGCTGTTTGATCCCGATTTCTCTGATCCTCCCCTTCTTCCAGTGTGCCCCCCCATCTCCTGATAAGACATATCATGTGGAGTCACTCTGCACATGCTCAGTTTGGTGTGTATTGCTAGAGAGGTTTTTTTTTTTCTAGGGAGATGCATGTGATCAGCACTGTCCAGACAGAGGTCAAGGTCCTGCATCCCCCTAGAGCAGAATGAAAACTCCTACAAGCTGTAACCAGTGCTCTGCTGGACACTGATAGAAGTCACAAGACTGCTCTAACTGCTGTCGAGAAAAGGTATTCAGCAGTTTATATTTACTAAAATAATTGCACTTCCATGTTCTTTGTACTGTGGGAGACCATATATAGTGACTGAAGGGCAAGGCCAATCTGTCAAGCTGTACAAATTGTAGTTGCTGTTGTTTTCATTTTTGTTGTACAGTTACAATTACAATTCTAACAAGCCAACCTCTCACAGAAATACTGCTCTATGACCGTGTATATTTTCTATTTAACTTTCTGTATAGTCTTACAGATCAGCACCATTTTCACACATCAAAGATCTAAATCATAATGTCAAGAGATTACATATTCTTGTACCATTAAATCATAACTGAATAATTTTTAACGTTTGAAAAAGGATACAGGCAGAGGTCTCTGAGGTCACAGCTGTGGGTTTGAGGGAAGTCAACATTTCAAATGTAAGCTTCGATCAATGTTTTAATAGAAATATGACCTGAATTCCATGGAAGTGAAGTCAGTCTATTAAAATACAGGTGCCATATTCTCTATATCAGCATGACTTTCAGGATTTACTGCAATAAACTACACCTATATCAAGTTGAAACAGATGTTTTGCATACACTACCACTTTCTGGTTTGTGAGAAGGAAAAAAATGACAGAACATAAATCATGATTATTAGACTGTTAATTACTGGAAGAGATTAAAGAAGTAACTTAAAAATCCTTGTTGAATCTTCCAGGGTACCAAGTGCATGTAGCATTCGATCCCATGTTGGTCTGTACTGTTGTTTTGCACTGAAAGTACCTCTTAACCACTAGCCTACAGGGCACTTATACCTCCTTCCTGCCCAGGCCAATTTCCAGCTTTCAGCGCTGTCACACTTTGAATGACAATTGCGCGGTCATGCAACACTGTACCCATATGAAATTTGTATCATTTTTTGAGACAGATAGAGCTTTCTTTTGGTGGTATTTAATCACCTCTGGGATTTAAATTTTTTCTTAAACAAACCAAAAACCACTGAAAATGTTTTTTCTTAGTTTTTGTTATACAATTTTGTAAATAAGTGATTTTCTCCTTTGCTGATGTGCGCTAATGAGGCTGCATTGATGGGCACTGATAGGCTGCACTGATGGACACTGATAGGTGGCACTGATGGGCACTGATGAGGAGGCACTGGTAGGTTGCACTGATGGGCATTGACAGGCATCACTGATGGGCACTGAAAGGCAGCACTTATACATGACACTGATATATGGCACTGATAGGCGGCACTGATAGGTGGCACTGACTGGCACTTTTAGGCAGCACTGACTGGCACTGTTAGGCGGCACTGACTGGCACTGATAGGTGGCACTGACTGGCACTGATAGGCGGCACTGATGCGCACTGATAGGCGACACTGACTGGCACTGATAGGTGGCACTGATTGGCAGCACTGATAGGTGGCATTGATTGGCATTGATAGGTGGCACTGACTGGCATTGATGGGTGACATTGAAAGGCAGCTCAGATGGGCACTGATATGTGACATTGATGTGCACTGGTATGCACTGATATGTGGCATTGATGTGGCACTGATGGGCACTGGCACGTGGCACTAATGAGCACTGACTGCTGGCACTGATGGACACTGACAGGTGGCACTTCTGGGGCCACACTGATCATCAGGGCACACTGATCATCAGCCCCTCTGCGGAAAGCCGATTACCAGCTCTGCTCTCCTCTCGAGCTGTCAGCGTGACAGCTCGAGAGGAGAGAAATGCGGATAACCGGAATTTCCGTGTTTACATGTGATCAGCTGTGATTGGACACAGCTGATCACATGACCGAGCCGACATCTCCGGCTCTTTCCGTGATCCGCTGTGTCCGAGGGACCGGTGATCGCCGCGCTGCGCGCTCCCTGAGCCGCGCATGTGTGGTGAGAATGGGAGGACGTCATATGACGTCATAAGTGGAGAGTGGATTAAATTACAGGTGTACCTCGGTTTACAAACTTAATTCGTTCTGCGGGACTTTTCGTACTGTGAAAAATTTGTAAACTAAAACGCGGTTTCCCATAGGAATGCATTGAAAACCAATTAATCTGTTCCGGAGGTCAGAAAAAAGTAAAATAAAAAGTCTTTTATCTGTTCAAAACTCTTTATAAAGTGCACTTTAAAGGTATAAATACTGTACAGGGGCATGATTAAAAAAAATTCATAAATGCATTGAAAACCAATTAATCCGTTCTGGAGGTCAGAAAAAAGTCAAAAGTTTTCTGTTCAAAACTCTATATTAAGTGCACTTTAAAGGCATAAATACTGTACAGGGACATGATAAAAAAAAATCGTAAATGCATTGAAAACCTAATTAATCTGTTCAGGAGGTCAGAAAAAAGTAAAAAAAGTCTTATCTGTTCAAAACTCTTTATAAAGAATGTTTTTTAATCGTGTCCCTTTATGCCGTTAAAGTGCACTTTATAAAGAGTTTTGAACTTTTTTGACTTTTTTCTGACCTCCGGAAGGGATTAATTGGTTTTCAATGCATTTACAGGCAGCACAGTGGCTAAATGGTTAGCACTTCTGCACTGGTGCAAATTCAAAGAGAAAGCACAATTTGCTTCATATTGGGACTATTTCTTGTAATGTATAGACTCTGATTTGATATTCAGACAATTTTGTTAGCGATAATATTGAATGAGTGATAATGTGGATCAATAGCAGGTGGGCAGAATTCTCAATTCTCAACCACAGGAACTGTTCGATATTTACACAGTAAATTGCTGTTATTTTCAAGGCTTCTGTGTTTCTTTACAGAGCATGTGAGCATCATACAAGTCATCAAGGTGCCTGCATGTGTGGTGACCACGTTAAATGTTTAGGGGTGTATATATAAAAAAAATTTGCAGAGATATTTCTATTGAGAAACTGCATGTGTATCCCACTTTAAAAACAAATGTGGATTCCATGTTATACTATTTATTAAGCTCAAAAACAATAAATCAGGTCCACTGTCAGAAATCAGGGGGCCCCATACAGCCTACCTTAGGGGGCCCAAACCCCCCTTCCCACTGATGGTTGCCGGCCTGCTGCTGATCCCTCATATACAGTTTGCCTGCTTCTCTTGACTTGTGGTGAAGGTGGCAGGCAGTGAGTCAGCTAATGAGATATAACTCCACCAGGGACTGAGGCTGTGGCCAGAACTTTTATTTTATCCACCTGCACACCGATATAGGAAAAAAGTTCCCTCCCTGCTATAGACTCCTGGGCCCCTCTGATGAATTGATGGGGCCCAGGGAAATGTTATACGTCTAAATAGACCACCTGGGAGCTACGGGAAGCATAAATAAAGTGCCTGCATACTAATTGAAGTGTCAAACTTTTTTTCATTTTGGATAGAGTAAGGGAGGGTTTGTTGCCATCTGTGTCCCATTGGGGAGATTTCCTTTCACTTCCTGTTGCATAGCAAAAACAGTAAGTGAAAGAAAATCCCTCAAAAGTGAGGGAATTCTAGGGTGTCACCAGGATCACTAGAACTAGTGTCCCCATTGGAAGATTTTATTTCTATTTATGTTGTGATGTCAATCCACAGTTTGGGATTTTCTTCAACTTTCACTTGTGATGATGACAGCAAACAGGACAAATAGAGAGGGTAAATCTCCCTAATGGAGGCACAGACAGCAATAGAAAACCTGGCAAGTTGTCAGGGCTCCCGATAAGACCAGAGATGCGTGAACTGACACAGGGAAACACAGGCTCAAGTATGGTGTAACAATATAATTTATTAAGGGTTATACACAAATATAACGCACAATATAACAAAACCAAACCTCCAACTGATAACGGAATGTACACAGATAAGAGCAGTCAGGGCTGGCGAGGTGGAGTGGTCAGGCAGGCCGGGTCAGGAATTATCGGGTAGACAAGACACAAAGGAGTAGGCAGAGCGTAGTCAGACGGGCCGGGTCAGGAACAAACAGGCAGACAAGGTACCAAAGGAGCAGGCTGGAGAGTGGTCAGGAAAAGCCGAGGTCAGGACAGGCGGAGTTCATTCAGGGTCAGGATCACGCAGAATCAGGAATCAGGCAGGAAGCAGACAGGATGCAGGTACAGGGGCTCATGGGAAACATACACCAAGGCACTGACTGCAGGTCTGGCCATTCCTTAAATACACCTCCTGCAATCAGCCTCAGGTGATGGCTGACTGCAGGAGTGAGCTTCTGGTTGCTGAGAGCACCCGCTGGCCAGCCCTGGTACTGCAGCCCACATGGCAGGTGAGTCCCACCACCATTGGCAAGTCCATTCCTGACACAAGTGTTCTAATCTCTCTTCACTCTTTCCAAAACTGAAAACCCTTTTGCTTTAGTGTCACTTTAAAGCTGCCAGACCCCTTGCTAAATTGATGGGGCCCAGGCCCCGTAAAGAAAGTCCAGTGGTATCCCCTTATCGGTGGCCCTGGATGTAATTAATGTTTTTCTCTTATCAATACTGAATATGAAATAGCCAACAGTTAAACTGTATTTAACCCAAAATCTTTTTTTTATCTATTTGACAGTCAGGTTTTCATAACTGTTTTTATTCCAGGCATGTTTTATTCTAGTTTTTGAACTGTCTGTTTTTTTATTGATGTCCTCTTGGTGAGACTCACCTTCTCTGTTTGTACTAGGAATAGTTGTAACCAGGACTAAAAGTGAGGTAAAATCCAAATTTAGATTTGTTACCAGAGAAGGAATAGAGGAAAAAATCTCTCAATTGGGACACTTTGTTCTGGAGACAACTAAGAGACGACTCCTCACTTTGGAAAGATTTCCTCTTACTTCCTATTGTGTCTACATACAGGAGGTTAAGGGAAAAACCAAAATAGATTTTAAAAAATGTTTAGGCTTTTAATATACTTTCACTTTTTAAGTTGTCATTATGTCCCGTATTTACATAAACAAACCTCGGATATCCTTTCTTTTTTTCAAGTTCAGAATTGGTTAACTTCAACATTCAAAAGATGATAAAGTATGACAGGATGAAATTACTGACGGACTAAAGCTTGCTATACACTGATTGAAATTTGGCCAGTTCAGCAGGGACTGTCCACATTTTGACCAGTGATGGAAATTTTTCAGCATCTGTTGATCAGTGTATTCTGACAACAGTGCTTAACAAGTCACCCTGACTGTGGTTTGATGGATTAATAATGGGCTTGACCAGAGGTTGCTGAAAGCCCGACTGAAGTTTGAACAATGTTGATGGAGTTTTTATGAGGAGCATGGAGTAAACTATGTCCTACAAAGGGCACTATATAAATGTTTTCCTAATGTTGCCAATTAACACCACTAAACAGAATTCTTTCCAGTTAGGAATAGTCCACTAGCCTTTAAGTGTATTCTTTATGAATACGTGTTTGGGATATAAATGCCCAGGCAGTCTCAGGTTCAATTATAATTAGGACATATCTACAAATTAAACTTCTTTTTTTATTAGACTGCAAATCCAAAGGTAGTTTTCCAGGCCCCTCATACCTTTTGAAGAATGCTTTAGGGGAAACTGATTAAATCTAATTTCCTGGCTTTGTAGCCTATTTTATGATTCTTAGCATACAGAACCTTATATTCAAGGAGAAATTGGAATAAGACTTAGTACTGACATTCTTTGTCAAACTTTGAGAGAATAATTGCACTCTAACCCATATGTGTCCTATCAATAGTCCAAAAATCCAACTATGTAGCAGATGATATCAGAAATTAGTTGAAAAACTATTTCTGAAGAGCACTTCAGATTTTCATTCACATGTTAATGGTCTTTTCCTGTTTTTCAAGACTACTAGTAAATGTACAATGTAAAGGGGTAACGAATAATCCCTGTCTTTAGCATGAAATGTGTTTACCTGCCAGTCCCCCACTGTATTTCCATTTTCTGTATTGGTCTTATTTTGGTTCAATAAAGTAGATTGGAGTACAGCTGATCAGACTTCCTTTGTTCTCATCTATGCAGCACATGAGCTGGGCTAGCACCTACAGGAGGTGTTATGCTTGGAGATTGGGTGCAGGGGCAGACTGACAACTCATGGGGCCCAGGGCAATAGGGATCATGGGGCCTCTGTGTCCTTGCCCACATTCAAAGCACACCCAAAAAAGCCTATAAAAAGGTACCAGGGACATTTCATGGGGACTCCTACTGACCCTGGTCCCTCGGGCAGTGCCCGAGTTTTCGAATGGTCAGTCCGCCCCTGATTGGGAGTCTCTCTAACTTGAGCAGCGGTAAACATATATGAATGTACAATGTACTTGCTGAACTAATAATTGTAGAAAACATAACCTGTAATCTTTCTTCTTCAGATCAATTTGCTGTTAATACGATAAGTGTAAGATCAGTTTTATTATTAGTTAGCAACACTGGGACAAGTTCGGGGACCCTTTCCTCGGGGTCTGGTGGTGGAAGGCCAGAGCCTGGCCACAAGAACGACCTTTGCAACCCTGGTAGTTCCACCACTAGTGTCAGTAGGTTTTTATTTTATTTTTTACAATTGTATGCTTTATTATTTATATAACAATTTTTTTTATAGGTGATCCGTTGGGAGGCTTTGGTGAGAGGGAGGGAGGAAGGAAGGAAGGAAGGAAAGAAAGAAGACACAAAACAGACACAGGAGGAGAGGGGGGAGGAGGAGGGGCAGAGCAGCTTTCTCTCTCCTCTCCTGTCTGTGTTGGGGGGAGGAACTGTCAGCACTGGGGACACTCTATCTTGACAGAACCCAACGACAGCGCTGCAGGAGATGAGGGGGGCCGGCCACGGGGGAGCATACAGGAGCCCACGGCAGCAGGAGATGATATTAGAGGCGGCCAGGTGGCACATAGAGGAACCATTTCTCATCTGCTG